ACAAAAGGAACATATGAGAGTGAGAATAGCGAATAAATTATTGAATTCAGAGAAAACCAAGAGCAAAATTAAATATTAAAAATAAAATAATAGAAAGTTTACAGTGAATGACTAGTGAAGAGGTTAAGACCATGTTAGAATAGGAGACTGAATCAGCTTTTTCTGCATACAGAGTTCGGCGTTGTATTGACGAATTGCTAACACCTCCACCATACACAAATCCCGAAACCTTATCACCCTTTGTACCATTTGGCCTCACCTTGCAGATAATCTCGTAAGACGACTCTGGTGGAGCTACGTGGCTTGAGTTCGCCAAGTGCTCGAGAATTGAGCTAGTAACTGTCTTACACTGTCCTTTTGCTAACCATGCTGGATAATGTTCAGAGACGCGTTTCGAAAGTGTGGGGTTTGTGCGGCCAAAATAACTACCTCCACACGAGAAATTGAATTTATAAACACACTGAAGTGGCACAAAGCGGTAGTTTATCTTTCACACATCCATCGATCATTTGTTGGCTGTAGAAATTGATCCGTAGCTCCGCCGCAAAGAAGGCATTTCTGAGTGATCTGCATAAGCAGCTCTTCAGAATCTCAGAAGCGGTGTTACCTTTAAATTCGTGCTCATAAATAGCAGTTTCTACGGCACCGTCTATGTTCTTTCAGGCTTTTGCTTTAACTTCATGTTTTCTGGGTGAATCTTGGAGGATATCCAATTTCCATGAAGACTTGTCTGAGTCGCTCCAGTTCCACATGAGTAATTATATCGATTTTCACCCCTTACCACCCAATAATACACTACTATACATATTTGGCAAAAGTGAATTCGACCGTACAGCCTCTGAAGATGATTTCCTCGATAGAGAAAACATTCTTCGATGAATTGTCTTTTGTTTTCAAGACAGTTATTTCAATACTGGTATGAATACACAGTCGTAAAATCTAAAGAAGACGTGATCACACAAAATATGTTCTTTCACTCCATTATGGATAAGATTTTATTTTGATAAATCACACACAGTGTTGTACAGTTATATTAACTGATGATGTTTCGAGCACAAACTATTGCTCATAATCATATCAAGTTACTCACACAACTTTGTTCTTTCATTTATATACATGTGTAGAATCAATTAGATATTGGATTAAAATCACTGTGAGATAATGTACATTCAGAAATAATAGTACGAGTGTTGTTGATCAATCAGTTATTATAACTGTACAACACTGTGCGTGATTTATCAAAATAAAATCTTATCCATAATGGAGTTATACTCTACCACAGTGCCCAAGTTTTATACTTATATCAATAATACATATGGTCTTCCTACTAGGAAGCTTATCAATAAACTCACACGACTTTGTCAAACAGAAGCAAGATTCACAAACCACCGGATTTTTAATAGTCGATGTTTAAAAAATCATATAATTCCAAAATATTTACGCATACGCACTCCAATTACTTCAAGGAAAATATCATCAGCAACTGAACATCTCAGTAGATTATGTCTAAGAGAAGAACTACATCGAGTTACTGTGAAACTAAATAAAATACGAAATGAAATCGAAAAACTCAAACAGAAACTCAAATGTATGGTCAGTGACAAAGATTATGTAATCGTTGTTGAAACATCCGAAAAAGCTAGAGAATCAGCCTTAAGAAAATCAAAAACCACAAAAATCAAAAAATTCAACAAACTAATGGAAGAAAAGAACACAACAAATGAAATTGATGTCAACACTTCATCCTCTATCGACAGAACAAAATGGGTGATCAACCTCTCATCAAGAGAACTAAGCTCTAGTGAGATAAAAGTACTTGAGAAAGGACTAAATTTTAACGTAACAGTTAATAAATTAAAACCAGAGGACGTTATTCCTAACATAGAAGCAGCACTAGGTTCAATAGACAAAACAACAGCAGAAGAGGTTAGAGCACAATGTGCGTTAACCCTGAAAATGCAAGATCAAACTTAACAAAATCAGAAAGGGAAGCTTTAATTAGTCTAAAACAGGATAAAAATATTGTCATCGCAAAAGCGGACAAAGGAAACGCCACCGTAGTTCTGAATAAATCTGACTATATCAAGAAAGTCAGTGAACATATTGAAACGGGTCCATATGAGGAAATTAAGAAGCCTGTAGATACAATAATGAATAAGGTAAAGAAATCTACAGCGGAATTAATACGGAGAATGAAGCCGTCACTGGGTGAGTCTAAATGGTTTACTTTAATGCCTAAAACTAATAATACTAGTAGAATATATGGTACTATTAAAATACATAAACCAGGTTACCCCATAAGACCAATAGTAGATTTTAGAAATACCCCCACTTATGAATTATCAAAACACTTAGCTCTAATACTTTGTCCCATTAGAAATCGCTCAAACTCTAGACTAACTAATTCATATGAGATGAAAAGTAAGCTAAATGACATTCAACTAGAGAATGATGAAAAAATGGTTAGTTTTGATATAACTAGTCTTTACACTAATATACCAGTCATTATGGCCTTAGAAGCAGTTAAAAAAGAACTAACTGCGGATCCTGAACTGAATCATAGGACAAAGCTGCCCATTGAACAAATTATGTTAGGGATTCAGTTATGTCTCACATCTACCATCTTTAAGTTCCAAGGCAAAATATATAGACAAACAGAAGGTGTAGCAATGGGATCACCAATATCCCCTATTGTAGCAGACATATTTATGGACAGCTGGGAAAGTAGTGCTCTTAATACGTTTAACCCCACTCCAAAAATATGGTGGAGATATGTGGATGACACTTTCACGGTGTTAAAAACAGAACATATCTCTAGCTTCTTGACACATATAAACTCACAAGTAGAAGGAATTAAATTCACATTTGAATCAGAAAATGAACTAGGAGAATTAGCTATGTTAGATTGTAAAATAAAACGAATAGAAGAAGGCAAACTACACACTAGTGTTTATAGAAAACCAACGCATTCTAATAGATATTTAGACTTTAATTCGTCTCATCCGTTAACTGTTAAGGCAGGCTTAGTAAAGTGTCTAACAAATCGAGCCATAGCACTAAGTAGCACAAGAAAAGACCTAAATGACAAAATAAAACAGATAGAAGAAGCGTTGGTGTTGAATAACTATCCTATAAAATTCATTAGGAAGATCACTAAAGACCAAAAGCAAAATAAAAATAATGGTGAAACTATTAATGATAACACAAATAAGAAAGAATATAAGTCATCCACTGTTATACCATATAAAGAAGGGACATCTGAGGCCCTACGTAGGATTCTTAATAAAGCAGGAATTAGGGTGGCATTCAAACCTACAAACTCACTCAGAGACAAGCTCTGTAGGCTAAAAGACCCGGTGGATCCAATTAAACAAAATAATATAATTTACAAAATACCCTGCAATGACTGTGAGGTCAACTACATAGGTCAAACTAGTAGGTCAGGGATAGTCAGATTATCAGAACATAAGAATTTAGCTAAGGTAAGAATGGTTGACCCTGAAAAGATAAGTAATTTAGAAAAAAGCTCAGCTATTGCACTTCATGCAATAACAAACAACCACACAATAGGGTGGGATAGGGTTAAAATTCTAAAAAGTAATATAGGTAGGTGGAAAGAGAGGTTGATCACGGAATCCTTATTTATCGAGTCTACACCCAACACATGCAACAGAAATGACTCAATGCAAATACCAGAGATATGGAAGATATTATTACCGCAGGTCAAATCAGAAGAGGATAATAAATAATATTAAAATTCTATTTCAATTCAAACACATCACAACATTCTAACAAAAAACTTATTATGACTATTAAAACACTCGTCGTATTTCCCATCTGATTATAGTTGATCAATAACACTCGTATTATTGCCATCAGTCAAATCAGAAGAAGATAATAAATAATCTTAAAATTCTATTTGAATTCAAACACATTCAAACACAACATTCTAACAAGTAGCTTATCATGACTGTAAAACACACTCGTCCTTTTTTCCCATCTAACTGCAATTGATCAACAGCACTCGTACTATTATTTCTGAATGTACATTATCTCACATTGATTTTAATCCAATATCTAATTGATTCTACACATGTATATAAATGAAAGAACAAAGTTGTGTGAGTAACTTGACATGATTATTACGAAGAGTATTAAATGCTGTGAGTAGAGCTTGTGGTCTGCCACTGCATGAGCTCGCTAATACTATAGTCGAGAGGCATATAAATTCCTGTACGAAATGGGCAAAGGCTATAATGTCAGACCCTCTGCACCCCCTTTATTCACACCTGTCCCCTTGTATCTCATCAGGTAGGACGAGAAATCAATATAAAAAGATATATGCTCGTACTACTAAGTATAGAAATTCTACAATACCCTATTTAGCGCGTACTTTATGTGACGAAGACTCTGTTAGACGTGAAACTTACAAGTTACTATGTAATTAGCACAGTGAATCGACCCTTTTATCGTTCATCTTTCTGTATTTTATGGTGTCACACTTTCTATCGTTTAAATCGTTACTCTGCTATTTTATTTTTAGTTGGTATTACTATTATTACTACAATTTTGTACTTTATACATGTTTTTCTCCGTATGGCACACAGTATTTTGCTACGTAGCTGCTATAACAATCGTTTTATTGCTATTATGTAGTGTGTATTTTTAATGTTTTTTTGTAGTTTTTGAGTAAATTAGATGCAATATTGTACCGAAATGCTGAAAATTCCTTGCTGTATCATGAGTACTGTTTTTGGAATAAAGCTATTATTATTATTATTATTATTATTATTATTATTATTATTATGAGCAATAGTTTGTGCTCGAAACGTCATCAGTTAATATAACTGTACAACACTGTGTGATTTATCAAAATAAAATCTTATCCATAATGGAGTTATACTCTACTACAGTGCCCAAGTTTTTTACTTATATGTTCTTTCACCCTGCATTATTGTTTTCTAGAAAAATTTATGATGCTAAGTTTAAGACACTTGACAGCGATATCTTGTTGAAATAAATTAATACAATAACACATAAAGCAATATTCACAATGTCTATTTATTTTCGAGACTAGCAAGTTACTGAATGTCATTCAAGGCTTTTTTAATAATCAAAGAAAGGTTCAAGTTGCATAGTAAATATTAAAAGTTACGATATGATCTTTAAACATGGAACTCATGATGAATTTACTGCCACCTATTGTTTTCCAGATATGATGGAGAAGTCATGTGAATTACACCAAGTAAAGGACGATAAATTGAGAAGAACAGCATACTTTCACGTGAATTACCTGTTGATTTGTATAATATTTTTTGCGATGAACATAACAAAATTCTAATGGTCTAGTAGATGCGAAGAATTTTAAATACTTTTAGGTTTTTGCAAGAAAGCCTCCACAAACCATGTTATTTTGAGTTGTCTTGACTTATGTGAGCGGGAGTGTTTGTAGAAATTTGAGAAAAGCGATAATTTTGTACGCTATATCAAATATTCACTGTACAACACAGTGTCCGGTAGTATGAAAACACTCGAAGCTTACGATGTGTCCATTACTCATACACGATGCGATAGCGATGATACACAGACCGCAATAAAACTCTATATTAATGCATGCACTGTACGAACACTTTGTGTGGACTGTGTCATAATATTCACACGGTTCTGAAGGTTTTCTATAACCGTGAAGTACTGGACTTGGCTGAAAATGAAAGTAGTCATCTGCTACAAAATGCCATGCTGAACAATAAACCTGTGTTGTGCACAATTCACCCAGAATACACATTGACTTCATTTTGCTTCAAGTGCAGTATTAGCTTATGTGAGGCATTTTTTGAATATGAATGATTGTGCTGGAATTGGTGCCTGCGTACGTGAATTCTTTGCTCTGAGGTACGAATGACATTCTGTTGAGGTGAGCCATAACCTGCCTCCAGAGTTGTTTTAATCTGGAGTTACCAAGAAAACCGTCATAATGGAAACCTGTAAACAATATAGGTAGCAACTATTGAAAGGGAGACGGAGAATTTCGCGAGTGAAAACAGAGAAATCGATAACATGATAGAAATTAAACTAATCCCAGAACAGTAAGATGAACAAAACTGTCGACCACGGAGAGTTTGCATGCAGATTTGTGAAAACATATCAAAGAAAGTGTTTATAAATCGAAGCATGTAAGCATTTTAAGAATGTTCTCCTGTATTTTAACCTGCTGAAATAACAGGTCACTAATGATTTGCAGTGAAACTTATTTACACATCAGGTGATACAATGAAATATAATATTATCTTACAGCCTGATTTTAATAAACAGTAAGTATACAAAAAAAGACTTTGGTTAAAACTTATCAATAAAATTAAATCATTTTCATAAATTAAATTTTTTTAAAGTCAGGTATTAAAAAGAAGTGTTACTTTCAAAAAACAAAACAGGAATAGTAAGTAATAAAGGTTTTAAATCACAGTACTGTTATCCTGTTAACCTGATATATGAATTTCCCGCAATTATAGATTTATTGAACATTTTGGCACAATTAAAAACAAACAAATTTTAAAACCAAAGGATGACTAAATAATAATAATCACCTGTACAATTGAATAATTTATCTTCACAATAAGGAGAATACTTCTGGGCACCTTGGAAAAATCAGTTAGTTATGAGTTTACTGTGAACGTAGAATATCATAAACTTGTTGATGAATATTAGAAACTCGATTCATATCACGCAGATAATCACTTGACGTTTGATTATGAAAATCTGATTTCCCTGGAAAATTACCACACTTTATATCTTTATCCACTGAAATACAATTCTGGTTTTGCAATTGTCTTGTAACAGTGAAGCTTTGATTAGCCTGTACTTGTTGTAGTAAAGATAAAACATATTCACGCAATCTGGCCAAACTCTAAACAATATAGGCGAAATAAAACAAAACTGAAATGTCAGTGAGACAATAACAACTTTAATAATCTTAACACCTAAGAGGAAAGCCAAATTTTATTAATAATATATAGTGATTAGAATGACATAAAAAACCACTTAGAGGAAAATGAAAACCCAGAAAACATCGTAAAGTGCAAGATGTTATTACGAAAAATGTATTCAGTTCTCTTATTTGGAATCAAATGACTGCTTTAATAACCTCGAGCATACAACTTTCATGTGACTCACTACTTATTACCTCCCCTGTTCACTGGCTGACTGACTGGTTTCAACGTAGACACAGTTGACCAGATGCACAGCAGTTTAAATTACCACACTTCATGTAGCACACAAAGCAAGAGTAGAGAATACGGAGAGATTCCAAAGAGAGATAATAAACAGAAGTGTGAGAAAAAATATTAATATGGAGGAAGAATAGTTTCATTGGATATTATAAATCATACGAAAGGAATGCATCCGTGCTAGCCATTGACATGGATTTTGAATCATATCATCAATTGTCTCCAGCGACTATTGGTTTTTATCATCGCGAGGACGACAACCAGCCATCCAGTTTACACGTTCCTACGTGGCTTAAACTAACTGTTATGGATTTCATTGACTGACCCCATGTTTTCGTTTGACCACTACTAGCGCTTTTCCAACCCGTCCCATCCTATGTCAGCTAACATTGCCCATCGAGGAAGGCGACGCCCAGACATGCGCAACACATGTCTTAACTATCTCAATCGGTGTAACTTCAGAGCCTCCTTACCTAGCACTCGTCTGAAGTCTAACCTCAATATTGCTCACCCTATTATACCATCTAACACGGGAGATAGCACGCAGGCACCTGTGATCAAAGACAGCTGGCCTTTTCATGCCTTTCACTTTCAGTGGCCATGTCTCACTTACAGCCCTAAAGGACGGCAGAGAGAACTGTTGAGCAGTACATACGCTGCTTGGTCGATAGTCGGATATCACGCGTCTCTACTAAACCTTAATTTCAGAAGTTTGTGAATCACACATGAGATAAATAATAATACAAAGGAATTGGATATCTTTTTGGTTTCTTTTCAATTCTTTATAAATTCTGAAGTTTATACAAAACACGACAGTATGCAAATAATCATAGGAAGTCCGTAGGCGAGAAAATGTTACCGACTTGTTTTGCATCTAAATAACTTATTGTAACCTGTACACTATAAACAATTAAAGGGAAATAATTAGAACATTAAAGAAATCCGATAATAAATCGCAGCACAGAAATGGAATGAAAGCAGTATCTTTGTAAACAATAATAATCAATCAAGAAGTAATCTATTGATAAAATAAACCGCCCGAAATGACTGATTTAAACGTAACACAAAAGCTCTGTCATGAGAAATCAGTTTGAGATTATTTTAATCCTCAGTGATTACGCGAACTGATTCATGCTGAACAGTTGCTTTCGGTGAATAGTTGTTAGTTGTCGCACCTAGATCTAAGACACACACTTCAACCTTATCCCTATTTTAATTAAGGTTACAGCCGATAAGTTCTAATGCCGGTAATACAACACATTCACTAAAGCTGACACAGAGGAAAGAAAGGGTATTTTTCAAAAAGTACTTTCGCACAACAATTATTCTTACTTTATAATCATTTTAGAAACAATGTTAATTCAATTTAAAACAAAATATATGTAATCACGGTAAAAAAAGAATGAATAGTTCGATTAAATTTATTTAAACAGCGCAATCTGTGGAAAATGTAACCATTTATTAATTAATAAAGAAGAATTAGGTTTCACTGGAACACATTTTTCAGGGATTGGATTGGTATTATGTACAACAATAGTCTGGCTCAATCAAAAGTCAAGTGGTGTTTACATGAATTCTGTAAATCTATGAGATAACTGACTAATCTGATTTCAATAATTTGGATAGAATTTCATCGTACAGGAGCACAAACCAATACGTCGCTTATCATCAGCTGAATAATATTCAATACCATTATAATTATATTACTTTTCTTTCATCTGTTATTTTTAAGCACAGTTGCGGAGGGTGCTACTGACAAGATCTTGTAAGATCTTATCTAAACTTTCTCCCTGATTTGGGAGCTAAGAAAAAAATAATTAAGGCAAAACAACTAACCTGTCTCCTTGTTAAAATACGCTCTAAATCTTCACAAAGTACATTACGTTCATTTTCTAATCTGTCTCTTTCTTGTTTGTACAATTGAGCTTCTTTTTCAACTTCAATTAATTGTTTATGTAGTGAATGAATTTGATTATCTTTTTGTGCAAATGTTTGGTGTGAATAACTTGTCTGTTCACAACTAAACATTTCTTTTTTGATGGCTTTATTAAATCCCTGTTTACAATTAAATGTTAACAACGGAAAAGGAAAGAAAAACAAAGAACACTATGGGGAAGTAAATGACATTAAACAAATAAAATTTAGCGAGAATTAATTAGTAACCACCTCAAAGAACACAACCACATCAAAATTATCCACTTGAGCTACACATCTTCTCTGTTATTTTGACACTGAGGTTTCTTGTACTTTGATAAAATTTAAAAAGAATAGCAGGCTGATACACTTACTTTTATCTTTGTCTGTCTGTCGATCTGTCTGTTTTCGACATAGAACTTTGCACCGATGTGCGGCAGTTCAAGTCCCCACACTCCATGTAGCACACAATGCAAGAGAAGAAAGTACAAGAAAGGCATAATAGAGACAGTAAACAGAGGTGTGAGACAAAGGAATAGTAGTAACGAGAAACAATATATTTTCACTGGAAATTATAAGTCACAAGGAGTGGATGCATCTGCGCCACTGAGAACGACTTTGGGCCATATCGCCAATTGTCGCTAGTCTTCATTGGTTTTTACTGTCCCGGGGACCCCAACCAGTCAGGAAGTCTACACCTTCCTACGTGGCTAGCTTAAACTAACTGTTGTAGATTTCATTGACTGGTGCCATATTTTGGTTTGATCACCACTAGCTCTTTTCCAGCCTGATGCTATATCAGTTAACATTGCCCGTCGAGGAAGGCGATGACTAGGAATACGTAACACATGTCCTAACCATCTCAGTCTATGTAATTTCACAGCCTCGTCAACTCATTTCCCCTCCTTATCTAGCACTCGACCGAAGCCTAACCTCAATATTGCTCACCTTATTATACCACTTCACACGGACCTGTGTCTACATCCCATTCAGGGAGGTGTTGGATGTTCGGCAGGTTGAGCGTGGCTTTAGGCCAATTAAACTGATCCTGATAGTGTTCTTTCCAGTTGTCTATCCTGGGAGCTAATTATGGTGCCATTCATCTCAGAGATTGTTTCGTAACAACAGAAGACAAGAGCTGGCAACAGATCGTTTTATTACGGAAATCAACACGTATTTATATAAATTTCACATACATTATTATAGCCTACTCAAGTAGACAAACGCAGTCTTCTGATTGGTTGTTTTCGAGTTCCTCGGAAAGTGGAGCCATCTATCTGCGAATCATATTTGCCCACGTTTAAGTTTGCTGTGATTGGTTGTTGAAACAGCCTTGTTCATATTTTATCACGGCCCATATTAGTGACCTAGACATTGACGTAGATTAATGTCAACCAATCGGCTAGCAGGCTGCTCTCACCACAGTTTCACTTATCATACTTTTATCTTTGGTTGTCTTCAGTAAAATATAACAAAGGCAAAACTATATTAGTAGATGAAAATCGAATTATGGTGATATGAATGAGTAGACTGCATGTCGGTGAAGTTTAATTGCTCATACTTATTGTTAGTATCAGAAGTTAAGTTTAAGATATCTTAGTATCAGACTGTAGTGTTTCTTGTATAGGCGATATTATATTTCAGTAGTTGGAAGACCAGTACACTTGAGATAAGAAAAGTAGACGCATACCAAGCAATTTTTAGCAACCTAAAACATTTCCCACCAAATCAAAGTTACATATATTTTACGAGTTGATCACGGATTGATATCAGTTAGAGAACCATTGAAAACCAGGGAGTACTGGACAGCTGCTGTTTCATCCTAGTTTGGGAATCATCGGCAGTACGCACCCACTGGGTTTCGAACCCAGGACCTTCCGGTTACAAGGCAAGCTCGTATACCATTCAGCCACTGGGACCCGATTCAATGGCTCGTGAATTCTAACTTCTACCAATTCGTGATTTAGCGCGACCCCAACCATTGTCGTTGGTGGGACATCCATCCACACACGTGACATCTAATTGGACCTCACTGGTCACGACGTCTCACTAGAACTCAGGAAACTCCAACCTGTAGCAAGTCACTAGCGAGCATCAGATTAGCTTTCTATAGTTTGGTTTGTAAGGATTAGTTATGTTTTACGAGTTGATCACGGATTGATATCAGTTAGAGAACCATTGAAAACCAGGGAGTACTGGACAGCTGCTGTTTCATCCTAGTTTGGGAATCATCGGCAGTACGCACCCACAGAAAATGTAGTCGAATGGTTTAAAAGTAAGTTTCCATGTTGTTTGAAAAGTTTTCAAGTCAGTGAGTTGAATCTTTATGAAGGTGATGGACTGTGTGAGTAGAATATATAAAAATGCTCATTCTTTTAATTTATTTCGATCGTCTAATGGATAGTGAATTCTTACACACAAAAAAGAATGAAAAATCTTTATTTACCGTAGTGATATGATAGGTGGTGGTGAAATGAATCCCCAGTTCAGGATAATCAGTGTAGACAAATATACTGTGGCTGCCACAGTATTATTTGTATAGAATACCTCACTTATGGCAGACACAAACAAATAGATCGCGGAGTATACACATTGGATCATAGGAATTATTAAAAAGACGGTTGCGGCGAAGGGAATTTTCTTTTACACGAAGTCATCAACTAGGCTGTACACCTATTTATCATAAATACACGAATGTACAGTCTAGTTGATGACTTCGTCGAAAAGAAAATTTTCTTCGCTGCAACCGTCCTTTTTAATAAAACAAATATATCCAAAATTGACCTTGTTGCGTGTAATGTAATGAAGCAGAACCCAACACAAAAGCAGTACTGGACATCTATTGCCTCTTCAGCTTACTTCAGACTCTTTAGCAGCACACATTCATAGTCCTACCCCTAGGTAGGACTATGAATGTGTTCTACCAAAAGCTGTCTAGTTTGGTGAGAAAGGCTAAACGCTCAGATATAGTCGTTCTAGCTGGTGACTTTAATGCTCAAGTAGGGAAATTGTGTCAATCTGAGAAGGATATCGGTGGCACCTATGGAGTTCCGTGCCAGCGAACCGACAACGGTGACCGTCTCCTACAGTTCTGTTCAGATAATCATTTGTTTCTTTAAGCACTAACTTTAAACACAAGGAGAGACACTGTTTAACCTGGCGACCCCCATCATCAAACCAACGCTGGACACAAATAGACCACATAGCAATAAGCTATCGTTGGCGTGGGTCGGTAGGAGATTGTCGCTCCTTCTGGAACACGTGTGTAGATACCGATCACGCACTGGTCCGGGCTCGTGTGTGCTTACGACTGAACGGACGTAGGAAACAGCTGGCGGTAAAACCATCACGTCCCCAGCTCGATCAGGAAACTAAATCCCTATTTGAGGAAGAACTAGCTAAACGCATATCTGAATTCGACAGCTGTGCTCACCCTGGAGAAGCCTGGAAGAATATTCAGTCAGCTATAGATACAGCTGTAAAAGCTGTGAATAAGGCAAATCCAAAGGTGAGTAAAAACCACTGGATTTCGACTGCCTCATCCGAACTGATAGATGCTAGAAGACTTATTCCGGCGAGCTCCGAATTCAATGAGGAGCGAAAGCTGCACAAAAGGAAACTTACTAAAAGTCTCCGCAAGGACCGTGAACAGTGGTGGGTGACAAAGGCAAAAGAGATGGAAAAAGCATCGCTGATAGGCAACACTAGGCAACTCTTTAGACTCATCACAGAATCGGGTGGGAGAAGGCAATTCATAAGTGAGACTATTTCTGAGAAAAATGGCTCCTTAATTAGCTCTCAGGATAGACGCCTTGAACGCTGGAAAGAACACTTTGAGGAACAATTTAACTTGCCTACAGCCACACTGAACCTCCCCGACATCCACACACACCCGAATGGGATATAGACACTGGTCCGCCGTCTGTAGTGAGGTCACAAAAGCTATCAGTAATTTGAAACGAGGCAAAGCGGCAGGACCCGACGGAATTATTCCGGAGGTGTTTAAATATGGGGGTGACATACTAGTTTGTAGATTAACTGAGGTACTAGGCAAAGTCTGGGAATCAGAGACAGTACCATCAGACTGGGGTAAGTCACTTATTATACCGATATTCAAGAAGGGAAACAAGTCCTCGTGTGATAATCATAGGGGGATCAGCCTAACGAACATAGTCTCTAAAATCCTAGGCTCAGTAATCATGCATAGACTAAGCAGAACTCGGGAGGAACAGACAAGGGAAAATCAAGCAGGCTTTAGACCAGGTAGAGGGTGCATAGATCATATCTTCACTCTTCGACAGATTCTAGAACATAGACACACTTTTCGGCGTCCAACAATTGTCATATTTCTTGACTTGAAGGCGGCCTTCGACTCCGTGGATCGAAAGGTACTATGGCAATGTCTGACTGTGAAGGGAGTGCCAAGAAAGTACATTGCACTAATCAAGGCACTCTATTCAAACTCACGTAGTCGTGTAAGGGCTTATGGGGAATTGTCATCTGAATTGGTAACAACCAGTGGTGTCCGACAGGGATGTCCACTTTCCCCATTTCTGTTTAACTTCATCATAGATATGCTAATGGAAGTATCCTTAACTGAACGTAATGACTTAGGAATCGACTTGTTACCAGGGAATAGTCTTATGGACTTAGAATATGCAGATGACATAGTCCTGTTAGGGGAGGATGCTGACAAAATGCAGAGTCTTCTGAACACCTTGAGCAGCAATCTTCGTATGTTTGGCATGCGATTCGCCCCTGCAAAATGTAAGATGCTGCTACAGGACTGGACTACGTCAACTCCTAACTTAGTGATAGGGAGTGAAGTGATAGAACATGTTGACCACTTCACCTATTTGGGAAGTTGTATTAGCACCAACGGACTGATTGGCGATGAAATCTCAGCACGGATCCGAAAAGCTCGAGCTGCTTTCGCTGACTTACACCATCTCTGGCGTAGGCGTGACATCCGGTTATCAACCAAGGGACGTGTGTACTGCTCATCAGTTCGCTCCGTCCTTCTCTATGGCTCTGAAACATGGCCAATACGCGTTGAAGACATGAAAAGGTTGACTGCTTTCGATCATAGATGTCTGCGATCTCTGTCTCACGTTAGGTGGTTTCACAAGATAAGTAATGTT